TTCACTTCAGTCATTAACATTATATAGAACAGGTATAATACCTAAAGAATGGCTCCAATCAACATTCATACTGCTTCCCAAAAAAGTCAATGCAAAGGAGTGCAATAAACATCGCACCATAGCCTTAATGAGTCATGTCTTGAAATTGTTTTTAAAAGTAATTCACAATAGAATACATAAGAAATTAGATGAAGGCATAAGTAATACTCAAATGGGATTTAGGAAAGGACTGAGAACACGAGATGCACTGTTTGCAGTAAGTGTTCTTTCGCAGAGATGCTTAGATATTAATCAGAAAGTATATGCCTGTTTCATTCATTTTGAGAAGGCATTTGACAGAGTGCAGCATAATCGACGGAGAAATTTTATTAAATAAAAACATAGACATTAGAGACATTAGAATCATCTGTAACCTCTATTGGAATCAAACAGCAAAAGTGAAAGTTGAAAACGAATTGACCAAGGATATCCAGATTCGCCGTGGGGTCCGCCAAGGATGTATTTTATCACCCTTGTTATTCAATTTATACAGTGAAGCCATCTCAGAATTAGCGCTTGCCGAGATCAGTGAGGGCCTTATAATAAACGGTGAGCCACTTAATAACATACGATATGCTGACGACACCGTCCTTCTGGCAGGAACACTAGAAGAACTGCAACACCTTGCTGAACAAGTAAATATATATTGCAACGATTATGGACTAAAAATGAATTTGAAGAAAATTGAAAGAAAAGCACAAAACATCAAAGTTAAGCTAGTACTAGATAATACAGAAATTGAACAAATATCTTCGTACAAATACCTTGGAGCATGGATCACAGAAGATACTGATCAGACAAAAAAAATAAGATGCCGCATTGAAATTGCGCGGTCAACTTTTAATAGAATGAGAAAACTTTTTTGTAATCGCGATATCAATATATCGCCCCGGATAAAAATGCTTTGATGTTATATTTTCTCTACCCTTTTGTATGGAGTTGAAGCTTGGACACTTAAAAAATCCAACATTAAAAACCTAGAAGCATTCGAAATGTGGTGTTACCACATTTCGAATTCTTCTAGGTTTTTATTGTATGACGTATTTTGAAAATATCATGGATGGATCGCAAAACAAACGAACAAGTTCTCGAACAACTAGGAAAACAATGCGAAGTTTTAAATTGCATAAAAATCAGGAAATTGGAATACTTGGGCACATCATGAGAGGTGAAAAGTATGAACTACTAAGGAATATAATGCAGGGTAAAATCAAAGGTAGAAGAAGCTGGAAAGATGTAAAATCTCGTGGCTACGCAATCTCCGTGAATGGTTTGGATACAGTTTAATTGAACTATTGCCAGAATGATTTCCAATCTCCGATAGGAGTGGAACTTGAAGAAGAATTAGTCATTAAACTTTGTGATGACGATTATAGTAATTTTTATGGAGCTCACGATATTCTGACATACAGTTCTGCTGCTCAAGTTGTAATTTAAAGCCTTGTTCAGAATTGGGGTCATAAATAAGAAATTGATTTTCTAATTTACTGCAAAGTTGAAGACCTTCTCGAATTAATTTGGCAGTGAGGGGAGTTGTTTTTTCTTCATCATTATCATCTTCTATAATATACTCACGACACCATCAAAACTTATATCACTTAAATCATGGCTGAATGTATTATAGCACGAAGGCTCATCGTGGCTGAAGGTATTAAAACAATCTCCGAGAATTTCATGTGCCAAATTAATTATTTCATCTGATAGTGTTCATGTTTGAATGGTTGCATTGCTTAATATTGTTCTGAAGCTATTTTCTTGTGGCATTTTAAATTAATTACTATTTAACTGGGAATAAGCCACAATTAAAGATAAAAATACGTTTATTGACGTTTCAATTTCCACTTCGGAAATCGTTCTCCATTTCCGAAGCTAATTGTTCTTCGAAGTTTTCGATTTCCGTAGAATTTATTTCTCTACCCTTTGGTATTTTCTCAGTGAAACTTTTTTTCAAACAAGGATTTTCTCCAGCGATAACTGATAGTTGTACAATTACATTTGCACTTACAAATCACCTAAAAATATATAAGTAAGACAGTGCAACATGATATACAAATCTCCTGCGTTGACCACGATTTTGCTGCTATATCTTTACGTTTTCTATGCTTTGCCAGCCTCCCTAAGTTGTGTTTGTTCCTTGCCAGTACAATTCTTAGAGTTTTCACTTCATTGCAACCAACTGTAGCCTTTAATCACAAGAAAATTAATAATAATAAATTGGACAGTCTGGCACATAACCCCTTTGTCAAGCAACAGGCAAGGCACATACCGCAGGCGCCATCTTTCCGTCCCTATACAAAGTTTAATATTAGGAATCGCACCTAGCGCCTTTGTTAGAACATACAGCATGGCAATAACTCAAAATCAAAAGTTTTGGCACTTAGCACCTTTGAAACTTTCACTGTTCTATTGTTCTACGAAGTTTTCGATTTCCGTAGAATTTATTTCTCTACCCTTTGATGTTTTCTCAGTGAAACTTTTTTTCAAACAAGGATTTTCTCCAGCGACAACTGATAGTTGTACAATTACATTTGCACTTACAAATCACCTGAAAATATATAAGTAAGACAGTGCAACATGATAGGTTGTTAAAGATGTTTCAAAACGTCCTGGACCTCGTAAATACGCATGCCCGAAAAATTAAATGGACCCTAAAAACATTTACCATTTTAAATTCATAGGAAATTAGGCGACAGGGTAGGATTTGCATGTGCTAATGGTGTCGAGTATTTTCAATAAATATGACATATTATGTTTCTCTAATCTTAAACATTCCAGTTAGTCATCACATTTTTATTTTGTCTCACATTGAAAGATGTAATAAAAATTTACGACTTCCTGTCTTCACTGTCGATAAGAATTGCTGTGTAAAAATGTAAAATATTTACATTGCACTAATTTGGCTTATAAATAAACCTTATAAGAACTGAAAAAAATCTAGAGGACAAATAAATAAATAACAAATCAACGTATGATAGAAAAATAATAGGATTTTGGTTTTCAATTCAGCCAAATATGTTTTTCTTCTTCTTCGTCTAGCCATTCACGTCCACACCTGAACATAAGCCTCTTCAAGTCTTCCTTTCCATTGTTTTTTATTGTACGCTACTTGTAGCCAATTTTTCCCGGCAGTCCTTTTCAGATCATCTGTCCATCTCATAGGAGGTCTGCTCTGGGTCTTTTGTGTTGGTACGGTCTCCAGGTTAAAATTGATCTGTGCCATTTGTTTAGATCGCTCCTAGCTACATGTCCAGCGTATTCCCATTTCAACTTTAATGATTTTTGCACCACATCGGTGACTTTGGTTTTCTGTCTTATCCATGTGTTTGTTTTCTTGTCCTTAAGTGATATACCTAGCATTGCTCTTTCCATCGCGTGTTGAGTGACTCTCAGTATATTCATATTCTTTTTTGTGATTGTCCATGTTTGTGCCGCATAAGTTAATATCGGAATAATGCATGCATCAAAAACTTTAGATCTAAGATTAATTAAATTTGTTGATTTCTGAGTATATAGTTCAGTTTACCGAATGCTGCCCAAGCTAACTTTCTTCTTCTTTTTATTTCTTCAGTTTGAATTTCCCTATTTAGTATTATTTTTTGTCCTAAGTATATATATTCTTCAACTTTTTTATAACTTTATCGTTTATTATTGTCACGGTGTCTTCGGAGTGCATGACTTTTGTTTTGTTTAAATTCATTTTCAGTCCTATTTTAGAAGATTCGGTATGTAGTTCTAAAAGCATGGTTTGCATTTCTTGTAGGTCAGTAGCTAGCTAGTAAATATGTTTATACGAGACGAAAACTTGAAATTCCTTGGGAAAAATATTCCCATGAGATTTTTTGCATAATAATAACTTTCATAAAATACCGCAAAATAATGTTCAAGAGGTCGCTCATACAAAAAGTGGTCCTAATTTATTAAAGAGTTTTGTATAAATCCATTTTTAGGTTGTGATAAGGGACTCAAACAACTAAAAACAATGTTTTTAAATTAAATAAGCCCAAACTAAAGTATCAGAAACTGATAGAACAAGGTTTGGTGAATTCAAAAATAATTGTGTGTTTTTGAGCCTTCAATTATAATTTTTCGTTTTTTTTTCTAAGTTGAAAACGATCAACTTTAGAGAAAAATTACAATTAACCTTTTTTATTCAGAATCTAAAAAATTCATTGATCCAAAAAATGATAAAATATTAAAAACGATTGTTCACAAAAAAAAATTAAAATTATAAAACTACATATTTCACTAACGCAAAAACTAGTTCGTCTCTGTTTCGCTACGATAACACACTGAAGAGAACTGCATGTTTTTAGCAATGCCTGATTTCGTTGTTTCGTTCGTAGATCGACGTCACTAAATGATTACGTCAGGTCCACGACATTATGAATTATCTTTACAAATCTCCTGCGTTGGTGACGATTTTGCTGCTATATCTTTACGTTTTCTATGCTTTGCCAGCCTCCCTAAGTTGTGTTTGTTCCTTGCCAATACAATTCTTCGAGTTTTCACTTCATTGCAACCAACTGTACCCTTTAATTACAAGAAAATTAATAATAAATTTGACAGTCTGGCACATAACCCCTTTGTAAGCAACAGGCAAGGCACATACCTCTGGCGCCATCTTACAGTCCTTCTAGTTTAATAATATTAGGAATGGCACCTAGCGCCTTTATTAGAACGTAGAGCATGGCACATACAACATTTCTATGGTAATAGCTCAAAATCAAAAGTTTTGGCACTTAGCACCTTTGAACCTTCCACTCTTCAAAGTTTCGATTTCTTCTGTAGAATTTAAGCCTCTCTTTTGCTGTTTTCTATTTGTCTAAAAGACTTTCAATATACCAAATTTTCTATTCCTGTTTCTTTTGGTTTTTATGTTTAAATCTTAAGGTGTACATTTGTCATTACTAATGCAATTTACATTTAGGTCCCCTTTTTTATGATGAATTTGATTGAATGAATAACACAGTCCATAGTTTTATTTATTTAATAAAAATCTGCACATACTTCATACAGTTTTTAGACAGAACATTTACAGGTGCACAGTTACACAAACCATTACGGAAATCCTGATACATTTTTTTTATTATAAAAAAAGAAACTCGTGTTTAATAATAAAACTTAAAACTAAATCAGTCCTAATCGGGCTTATAATAAAAATATTTATTTGAAATTCTCTATTTAACATTTATATTTTTAACCAACTAGCGCAATAATACGAACACCAAACTACTGAAAAAAACATACTCAAACTTGAGTACTCCGGAAAAGATAAATGGGCGCTAGTTGGCGAATACGCAGAAAATCTAGCTGATGAAGTGGTTTTTCAAATACTTCATCATACCGAACGTACGGAAACGTTTCGTTCCGATGACTTTCATCAATGCGTCATCACAGATGGCGTACTGTTTGTTTTTGGGATCGTACAAATCTTTTTCTTTGATTATAGACCACACTTTTTTGACGACTTCATGCCGAGCCATCGAGTCCTGACCGACCAACGCTGCCAATTCTGGAGACAAATTCATTACTTTTGTGTAACCGCTACCTCCCTTCTTGCCGCCGCCGCCACCCTGAAACAATAACATTCTTGTTAATAATCATATGATTGTATTTTTCAAACTACAAAATCTACATCTACAAAATCTTCGAGTTCATGGTTCTTTCGCTAACACACATGAAGGGCCAGGGAACTTCAAAGCTAAAATCACAGTTTTTAAAGCCGAAGGTCAGGGAGCTTCTGGAGAAAATCCGAACGCCCAAAGGCCAGGAATTTCTAAAGAAATCTCCCAAGCTGGGAGACAAGGAAACAAAAAGGCTGTCAGAGTAACAGTGCGTCTTGGAAGACGTTGATTTCATGACAGACGAAGAAATTAGATCTGCAAAGCTATCTGGCGTCTCTAAAGCCAAAAAGAGTAGGCTGGTGAAACAATGCCAAGATTACTTTCAAGTCAAAAGGGCTGTAATCAAGGCCCATTTTATCAAGGAGACTGAAAGGACAAAAGAGATGCCGTCAAAGCCATTAGAGGCAATGACAAAAGTAATACCAACTCAGAAGATCGAAGTTCCAAAAAGGGTAAGGTCAGATGGAAGCACACCATCAGAAAGCCAACACAAATGGAAAAGATCAAGAACCGAAGGTGTGACTTTCAGCGATAAGGTTGCAGCGGTACTAACAGGATTTCCGGAAGCCAAGATGGATGTAGACGAGCTTAAGGCAGTCGAAATAGCCATCTTGGGTGAGTATGAAATTTCCGAAAGCAGGACCACAGGTTCGCTTCCTGAAGAGTATACAGGCAGGGTTTTCTGGAATTTAACTGTGCGGATGATATAATCGTGGTGGCTAAATGAGGTGATTCCAACCCTGAAGCCTTGGAATAGTGCATCTCTCAGGACTATGGAGGGGAAGATATACCCAATCTGCACCCATCCACTGTCTTTGCACAGGACGAACATGGGGAACCCCTTGAGTCCAAAATGATCCTTAATAGACTAAGAATAAGTAACCATGGGCTCAGGACACATCTATAGACAGTCTGGGGTAGAAAATTTAGACAAAGGGGTGATGGACCTTCTCGATGAATTCTGAATCTCGAAAACTTCAGAAATTAAAAATGTCACCCTTTTTCGGAGTAGGCGGGTTAACGTTACGACCCAAAGAAGGGAAGACAAAAACACGGGATGAAAAGCCAGTAGCAACTCGTTCCAGTGAAACAGGAGAAACTTCCCTACATATGGAGGTTCAGGAAGAGGAACAACCTTCTTCGGGTGGAGCTGACACACTCATATGGACTAATGTCCAAGTGTGTGTCGGACCCACGGAAGAAGGAATGTCCACAGATCTGCAGGCCAATCTTCAACATGTAAAAGCCGCATCGGCAACGTTAGTTAGAAGAGTGGAACAATAAGGCATTGATGTGGCCCTCCTGCAGGAGCCTTGGAGGATAGGTGAGAAGATTGCTGGCCTATCAACTAAACAAGGTAAGGTTTTATACACACCCAAAGCTACAAGATCAAGGTCGTGTATAATTCACAGTAGAGTAGATTGTACACTAATCACGCTGCTCTGCACTGATGATATTGTTTACAGCTGTTCTAACTATAACCACGGAAGTAGGAGATAAGAAACTGGTGGTGTGTTCAGCCTACTTTCCAGGTCAATAGGCTCTGTGTCCACCAAGAATTATAAGCGACATAGTTGCATATTGTCTAGGAAAATGATTACAGCTCATTATAGGATGTGATGCCAACGCACACCACACCATATGGAGCAGCACAAACATCAATGCAAGGGGTGAATGCCATCTTTTGCATAAGGCACTGCAAAGAAGTGTTGGATTTATACTCTGCACAAGCAGATAAGTGATACATAACAAATGGTTTGTCTGACAACCTCATTTTGGATCACATTGAGCTATTATGGCGCTTACAGGAAACTGCCAGAAAAAGAAAAGTACGTAGTATCGTGGAACAATGGCTTAAAAAAGATGAGGTCGGAAGGCTATTTAACAAAGCCAAAAATAACCAAGACTGGGATGCCTACAGGTATAAGCTAACGTTATACAATAAAGAAATTCGGATTCATGGAGAGAGTTTTGCGAGGAGATTACAGATATCCCAGCATGTTCTCGAATCCATAAAGTCCTGCAAAGGATGGTGCAACAACGAAAGAAGTAGGTTTCCTAAAGAAAGCTAATGGCAAATTACGGACACCAAAGAGGAGAGTCTTAGAGAACTGATAAACACGCACTTTCCGGGTTAAACAAATCTGGATGATGCAGATAGGCAAACCAACATAGACCAAAGGCTGACTAGGCCAATGTCTACAGATTGGAAAATAGCCACAGCAATCACAAAACCAAACAGAATTATATGGGCTATAAATAAGTTTTGGCCATATAAGTCTCCAGGGACAGATGGCATATCTCTGATACTGTTGCATATGGGATTAGAGGTATTGATACCACACCTATGCGATAGACTTAAATATAAAATGTTGTATAATTGTAAAGCTAAGATTACCAAAATTTAGTAAAATTAGTAGTTATATTATACAATAATGTAGCACCATTTTTCCATACAAAAAGAATTTGAATGCAACTTTTTGTTGGCTTAATGGTGCAAACAGTGTTATTTATAATACTATTTTACTTTAAATAATAAATTATTTGTTTTATTAGTGATAAATGTAGATAAATCTGCAACTTCCTTTAATATTATTTGTAAATATGCTGGAAATAAATTTCATTGACGAAATAAGTTTCAATTTAAATAACAAAGTTTGTTTATATTGTTATTCACTTTATTTCTTTTTGTTACTGTTGTGGATGATAAATGTAGTGTCAAATAAACTCGAAAAGCAGATAGCAATCAAAAGTCACTGTATTAATGAATTTGTACTATCAGTAACATTTTTTGAGTCTCCAAATCTTCCTCATTTTAAGAATTTCCCAGTTTCTTTGAACATGGACGAAAATAATACAAAAAATAATCATTCTAGGACTATAATGCTAAGAAGAATATATTTAATGAATAACTAACCCTACGAACTTACTTTCTTTCCCTTCTTTTTGCCCCAGTCTTCATCTGAGTCAGATTCGGAACCCTTCTTCTTCTTGGGGGGAAGTTTACGTGTCTTAACAGGTTTTGCCTTTTTGGGAGAATATTCTTCTTCAGAATCACCTTCGCTCTGTTCGCTGGCAGATTCGTCATCTGATGTCTTCTTTGCTTTCTTCGCTGCCGGCTTCTTACCAGTGGAGGCGCGTTTTTTCTTTTTCTCGTCTTCAGAAGGTTCCTAATTTCGAAGAAAACAAATACATTAATAAATAGAAATTTTTACTAGTTCTATCAAAAGTTTACCTCTTCCTCCTCTTCTTCTTCCTCCTCCTCCTCTTCCTCAGATTCGGCCTTCTTGCCCTTCTTCTTGTCCTGCTTTGAACTGACGAATTCCATTACCAAATCGTCTATTTCCTTCTTCCTAGATTGAAGATTTGTTTCTAGTTTCTCTTCTAGCTCCTGTCTCACCTTCTTGGCAGAAGTGGATGAAAGGTCAGCATCTTTTAAGATGGCTGAAAAATAAACATTTTATAATAGTTGAAGAAACATATCAATTAATGAAATAGGATACAATCAATTTGATAGAACATTGTTTATATTTTATTAGCAAAGAAAATCGCCTAAAAATGACCTTGGTTAAAACAAAAACCATATACAATGAACTAGTGGATTTCCAAGATGTAAGAATAAACGACACTGCATTTGAGATAGTTGATGAGTATGTATACTATACTATGTTCTACGTTTAGAAAATAACATTGCGGAGATAGGGCCATGTATTTCTTATGGACGATAGCAACGCGGCGTTGCCACGACACACACAAGCACAATTTAGGGTTGTATAATTTGTATTTTTGTTTCCACAAACATGAATTAAATTAATGTTTTTTAACGTAATTGACCAAAAGTGCCCATTCGAAACAAGAGATGAAAAGTAGGGAAAATGATTTTAATTAGATAAATAGTATTTACAAAAGATAATTTTATTTTATCTTATTTTAATTATAGTAACGACAGTTTATTTGTTTTTCGGTGAGAATACGATATGCCATGAATCATAGAAATCAGTAGAAAATATTGACCGCTTGGAATGCGTATATCTAATTACTAATTGCAACTTAAAATAATACGATGTGCGTATGTCAGCTATTTTATGTCGTTCTCTGACTACATAATGATAATAAGGCTTTTATTTAGTAGTTATTCTGACTTTACAGTTAAATGTTAATTGAAAATGAAAATTCAAAAATTAAGCAAAGGGAATATCTTGGACATCTGTGCAAAAGAGAGTGTCTGAGAGTTTTGGCAACACTGATCTCCATAAGCGTAATGTTATTTTCTTAACTTGAAACAAAGAATAGAACAATTAAAATACATAAACCTGGCTCCTTATTCCCAGAAATCAGTAAAAATGCTGTAATATTCAGATCCAGATTGACACTCCACCTGAAGAAAAGAAAATTCGATCAGTATATACTACTAATCATTACATACAGCTGAGAAACTTCCACAGTAAAGAAAGAGAAAATAGCAAAACTCAGTCACTCAATGGTCAATGGAGCAATTGATGATAGGCATACAAAGAAAGATTGCAAAAGAATAGAATGGATCAGACAGAAAACCTAAGTCACTGGGGCTATGAGACGGGGCTATGACATAAAGAAACATGGCACAGACAAGAGAATATTAGATAATTGTCCACAAACGTGAAGAACAACTATACAAGTGAGGCTGCACCATAATCGATACAATACGCTAAGAATGATGTATGTATGGCCGTGAAAAATTGTCCCTTTATGACAAGATTATATTATTATCAGACCATTGAGTTCGACTAAAACGAATATCTGAGGCAATGAATATTTAAATGAACGCATTTATTATATTACCAATTCTTATCAATTAAATAAGAACTTTACTGATTATTCACTTTTACACATTCACATACACTTTCACATTTACTTTAAGATTCTTCCTCAACATATACAAAATTCAACACCAACGATATCAGAAACACTAAATTTTTATCAATACTAGTACTGCTAAGACTGCCAAACAAACAATATCCGAAAGTGATCGGAAGCAATAAATATTACAAACCGCAACTGAAGAGGTATAGTTAATGGATTTTGGGAACAGCTATGACCTTGAAAATGCCACAAAGAATATAACTAAATCTTTTTTCTTACTCAGACTCTTTATAAAGTCTTTTACAATATTTTAGAATCGAAGATATGTAATTATATTATTAATGTATTGGATTTTGACAAGAGCTATGCATTATGCCTATTTAGTACACAAGTTTATGTGAAATGTTTAAGGTCATAGCTGTTCCCAAAATCCATTACCTTTATAGTCCTAATTATTTTTTGGTAAACTTTTTAGTAAAGATTTTAGTATACTTTGGACTTTCAAAAATACTGAAACTTTCAGCAGGGGAGTGGGGGGCAATGAATCACATATCCATCACTTTATAACTTTGTTTTGAAAAAAGTGTTAAATTTTGATGTCAATGTCTTTCTGGAGTGGAATATACCTGTGAACCAAACTGAATGCAGGAATGTCTTCAAACAAGCAAATGCTGCATATAAACATATCTTCTCATCATATCTAAAATCTATTATGTCATCAATCTTGTCTTGCTCGTGATTGAGTTTAGAATTTCTTTCGTATAGTATTTATATTCAGTTATTTGATAATTTTCTTGTTTGACTACATTTTAATTTCGTGAATTACTTCTTCATGTAAATTTCCACTTCACAGATGGTCTCCAACAGAGAGAAGTCCTTTGTATGCATGTGTTAAATTTTACAACAGTCTACCATTTGACATTCAACTGGAAACACACTATAAGGCTTTTAAAAAAGTAAAGGTTTTTCAACACCTAGTTAACATTGGAGCCCTAAACTGTGGCGAAGTGCCTGGTCTATCCTTCTCCTTGATCAGCATATTTAATTTGCAATGTTAACATATTTTAATCAGTGATTTGCTCAATTATGTTAAAAAATGTATGCAAATAAAATGTACTCTGTACTCTACTCATGTCAATCCTTCAGTAGATCTTCTGATTTAGCTAAAAAAGTTTGTAAAGTCACTGTACATTATCTCCAAGTCTATATTTTGATTCATAATAATATACGATTTTATATCACATTGTTCTACATTAAAACTGAATCACCTGTAATACATTAATCATGAGAAAGTTGGCAATTGCTATTTAAATGATTACTAATAAAAATTCCACAAATGCAGATAATCACCTCATTATAAATGTATATATTGACCACAAATGAAATAAAGCCTGCACAAAATTGATAACATAAATGATTTTTAAACAAATAAATTAGCTTTTCAATAAAATATATTACAATAGAAGAAATTTATATAGAGGCAAAGAATAAAAAAACTATTATTTTAGAAATTCAATTTACTCAATTAGAAATATCTCGAGAACTAAAAGTGATAGAACGATTTTTTAAGAGGGAAAAGCTTAATGAAAATATAATGAAATTTTCATCTATTTGCTTAATTTCAAAATATAAAACAATATAATAGTCTTATATTTGTAACAGTGAAGTACTTACATTTTTAAATTAAATAAAATTTACAAATTTATTTTTAATTTCACTTCCCCTTTATGTATTTTTTTTGTAAGTTACTGATGCCCATTGTTATATATAAACCAGTTCTTTCTATTCTTTTTCACTCACTAACTTTTTCGATTCAGTTGCTCCCATTTTCTGTTACACTTTAATTTCTTGAATATTCCTTAAACTTTTCCTTTTCATATATTTACTTATCCCATGATTAATTTCTACTGAACTGCACATTTAACTAGTCACAATAATTACTTAACAAAGACTACAGGATCGCTGTATAATGTTGCGCTGGAGGTAGGTATTATTTTGATGCCTATGATTACTATGCTAACTCATAGGGCCTTTAGAATATCCGACCCTAGTAGATATAAACACCAAGATGCACATAATAGTTCCTAGTCGAATCAATGAATAAAAATAAAAATGACCACTAAAAATTACAGATATTTAGGCCTATAACACCATATAACAATAAAGATAAGTTGAATGATAGTCCACCTGCTGGATCTTTGCACGAATATGAAATTATTCACGAATTATTTTTCATATTACTTCTCTGTTCTACTCACAGAAACTAAAATGACATAAACCACCTGTCCATAGACAGCCATAGGATGAAGGTCAGTGATTGATTCACTGACTGGCAATTGTAAGTTTCATTATGACATTTGTAGTGTTTATAAATTATATGGGTGTCATTAAAATATTCAATCCTTTTTTGTACTTTGAATATACATAAAAGAAAATAGTTGATTATCATGAGGAAATAAACAATGAAATTTTCACTAAATGGAACAAGTGAACAATCAACTTCAGAAGGCCATCATTCAAGATCATATCTATCGTCATGTGATAGATAATGTTCCATATTCTTTTAGAAAACCAAGCTTCTACTGTTTCAACTAGAATGAAAATTATTTCCTGCCTGACAACAAATACAATTAAGTATGAAGCAAAACTCACAAAACCAGAATTATTACAAATTGCAAAAATGAACAGAAAAGAGAATGTATTTATTGGGATAACCCCTATGCCTACCTCCTCCATATTGCCAAAGTGTCATGTTGCCATCTAGTACTACTCTGTTGCAGTTTACATTGTATTATATAGAAAAGTTCAGTTTTTCTCTCAAGAATATCATTTTCTAATGAAATTTTACATAATATCAATGAAAAAATCACCTTGCTATGAAATTAAAATATTTTAAATGCCTTGCAATGATACAACAGTAAAAGTCCTATAAATAAAGACCTTATATTCCATTGTTTACCTGCTCCAAAAAAGGGTTTTAACTGATTATTTTGATAATAAAAAATCAGTTGATCAAAAAGGCTGGAAAACTGTTAATTTAAAACATCTTTATCCTAACACAAAAGTTCATTGCATACTTATAACAGAAAACACGGTGAAAGGCTTTAGAAAAATCAATATAAATTACATCCACTTATCTCTTATCACTTATTCTTTAAAGCTGTTGATATTTCTTGTGACCATGTGACTCATTGTTTACTAAAATATCAGCGTCTAGATAATTTATTAAAATAAAACAATCTAACAACTTTGGAATTTCAGATAGCCAGTTGTTGTCTTGATACTTCTCAACATTAAAAAAAAACTGGAAAATCGCAAGAAACCAATGAATATTAAGACAAAAGCAAAAGACTTGTCAATGCAGATATACTCTCAGGAATATAAAAAGAAAAATTCGTTCACATCCTAATGAAAACAACTACCACCCTTCGTCAAAAGGCTTTCCTACATACTGGCCAACATATCCAAACAAAACACCTGATCTGCTGGATCTATTTATCACTCAGGGCATCTCTCCTGGTTACATGGAGGTCATGCCGAACTATGATCTCTCATCTGACCGCTCCCCAATTGTAGCAACCATCAAGAGCTCTATAGTCTATAAAACTGCCACACCAAGGCCACAGACTAGGAGAACTAACTGGGAAAAATACTGCAGCAATACAATAATAATGTTACAAAGAATGAAGAAAGAATGTGAAGTCATAAAAACTGTTAAAATTAGAAAGATTCAATATCTGGGTAATATAATGAGGGCTGAGAAGTATGATTACTTAGGTTAATTATGAAAGGGAAGAGAAACCCAGGACGACACAAAATATCCTGGCTAAGAAATTTGAGAGAGTGGTTCGATTGCAGCTCATGTTAGTGCTCAGTGTTAAATAATTGAGTATATGGCAACACTGACGTATATTAAGCTTACATTTAACGTCAAACTGTCAAACATATATATAGGTTATGTTCATTGCACCCAAATTCAAGTTAACTGGAACCTGAAGAAGGTATGTTAATCAAAGGGAAATAAAAATATTTTCAAGTCAGTTTATAAAAAATAATATTGAAAACATGTATAACACGTTCTTTATCCGCATAATTCTTTTCGGAGTGTAACAAAAATTTTAACACTGATTTCAATAATTATCAAGATATTCAAGATGCTCATCTTTCCCCCATGCCAGCAAGCAATGGCTTTGTTGTAGTCAGTGTGTAGGAGGTCGTTTCGCGGCAAATTCAGTGCGCATGTGTGCATAAAATAAATTGTTTTAAAATTTACTTGCAAAAATCAAACATAATTTGTTTATTAGGAATAAATAAGTAACAAAAGCCAAGAGTAATATCTAAAAATATACACTTGTTCATATTTTCGATATTATCACACCAATTTTTTATATATATGAAATTAATTTTATAAAACATACTATAGTATTCAAAACTTTTGATTAATAACAAAAAATTACAGCGAAAACATTTTTTTAAAAACAAGACATCCGAAGCCTATCAAAAATAAAATGGAAGCGCCTGTCCGTAGGAATACAGCATACCCACTACACAATGGATGAGAATACTTTCGAATGTATTTACACAGAAACGAATAACTTTTCAGAAAAACACAAACGACAAAAAATATTCCCCAATGTATAAGCAATATTTTTCTTAATAGAAGTTTTGTGTGTCGCCTCTCCATTGCTGTAAAAAACATTAATTTATATGCCAACATATCTGCGTTAAGTCGATGAAGTACACTCTGATCGTCAAACAACGAACTCATTTTTCGGAAAAACGTCTTAAAATAATAAGAAAACTGGGGAGAAAAACTCCTACGAAAATCAGAAATAATTTTTTACACCGATTTTGTTCATACCATTTTTCGTTTAGAGTTGTAGTTTCAGAGAAAAATCCAAAATAAATCTCACGTATAAGTACATATAGCAATACAGCGTCGTTCAGCCATTGTTTATACGTATAGCTGAAATGAATATGGCACCAAGAGTAAAATGCCTGTTTTTGACTGTTAACCCATGAAAATCCATTAAGAAAAAATGTTCAGAAAAAAATTACAAACTAAGTTTTACCAATTTTGCTATCTCTAGTATAAAACTTAAAGAAAAAACACCACTTACCGGCAATTTCTTTGCGAAGATCTTCCTTTGAGATGTCTGCCATGTTGCTAGAGAGAGAACAGTAATCGTAATAAAAGATGGAGAAACAAGTTCAATCTACGAATGTGGCTTGGCGACTGGACTGGGCGGGCTGGCGAACTGGGGAAACGGGGCAAATTTTGAAGCTAATGTCCCAACGCTAATTCTGTCTATTTATTGCGAGCTCTACCAGTATTAAAAAGATTTTTATTTAAATTAGATTTAATAAAATTTTAAAATTTGCATTTCCACTGGAATTATCATAAAAGACTACTTTAAAATTTATCGGTAATTAACGTAATTTATTTATATTGAGATTTTTAGAACGCAATATTGACCTTAAATATAAAAAATTATACTTTTGTAAATTATTCTTTTTACTACCAAATTGATTATTTTAAAAGTGAACTTTCACAGCTGTCAAGATATTCGACAAACAGATGGCGCCAGATATTTTAATTAGAAAATCGGTAATGCTTAATATGTTATAACCAATAATTTAAATAAGCTGCAGATGCAAGGACTCTAATAAATAGTCATATCGCCGACACAACAACAATTATTTTTATATGTTGAAGAAATTTAACGAAATTTTGTTGTAAATAGATTTTTAACTCCTAGATTTAGACAACCAGGACTTCATCTTCCAAATTTTGAATTGTTTTATTGAACATTGTATTTATTATTCTCAATTTATGTAAAAAACCATCATTATTATAAATATTTATACTACATTAGAGAAGTTTAAAGAATATATATCGCAAGTAAAGCATATAATTGACTATTTAACCCCTGAGATGTACCCACTTTTCAAAGTGGGCTATCAAAAAACTGTTGGCTCTTTGAACGAAAAATTATGAAGCACATTATACACATATAAAGAGGGAATGTAGAGAACAATGAGGAAAATATAACACGAGATAATTTCTAACTATAAACAGCTCATAAGAAACCAAACTTTGTGATAAGAGCACAGGAAAATGAAATTCCTTAGACTAGCTACACAAATACCAAAGGAGAAGACTAGAACCAGACTCAGGAAGAGGGAACAATTGGAACGAGACCTGAAAATTCTTAATATAACTATCTAGACAATCAAAGGGTATGACATAGAAGCATATCTTAAAGTAGAACAATACACATGGTACAATGAACAATAATATTATACACAGTACCTTTAATGTAGGTTGGTTGTAGGGCTGTAGGGTCAATAATGATGTTGAATTGAAATGTAAAAACATTTTTGTGTTGCCCAAGTGTTTATTATATCACAATACATCAAATATAAGGCAGATACATATCAAATATATAATGTATAATATATCAAATATAAATAGAGGCAAAAGTATAGAGAAAGTCCCGATGAAGTTGGCTATAAACGTCATGTCAAATTTGTGTTTGCAGTATTGTGGTATTGCCAAGTCCTTATTATGTATATGTTTTATGCCTCAAATATGCTTTGAAACAGTACATTTTTATTATATTATTTTATGAAATTGAGTATTTATTGAAATTTTTTAAATTCATATAAAACACGAAAGAATGAATATTTGTTTGTTTTGATATTAGTTGCAGTTAGTTATTAGAAAAAAAATAAAATGCTTAAACAATAAACAATCAAGTTAATTTAAATTATAATAAATTAAATTAAAATGAATTAAACTTCTTTTAAAAACTTAAAAAGAATGTTTAGTAACATGAATTAATATTATATCGCATGCTCTTTCGTGATTTATTTGTGATATGGCAACACTGCCAAATACAAATCTGTCCCTAATTTGTAGCTAACTTCATCGGCACGTTCTCTATACTTTTACCCAAATATAATTGGGCGATTTTCGCATTTGGTCCCAGTGAAGATAGCATGAAATTAGCTGTCAATTAAGTTTCACAGAACGAAATATTGCGTTGGCAGTGTTGCCATGTTCGTATAATGTATATGTTATATGCTCCAAATACAAAGAGAGAATGCTTTTAAAAGGTACATTTTTATCATATTATTTTATGGATTCTGCAATTTTATACCTTATATAAAATATTAATGAAGTAATATTTGTTTCGTTTGATATTAGTTGTAATTAATTATTAGAAAAATTTTTTGGCAATTGCCCTTTGATAGGTTAGCGGATAGATTTGGCAATAGAGTTAGAACCCTTAAACCACCAGCTGCCAGATTGCAACCAATGCCTTTTAAATTTTTCTATTTATACTGACATTTTACTATTTACTGTTAAAAACTGTTTTGAAACTATTTACTTTTTCTTTTTTTCGTAATCGTTAAATATTAGTTTTTAAATATCTTATTGCTTTTAATTGCGTATGTTTCATTTGTAATGTAAATTTCAACACTGCGAAACACCAATATTTCGTTCTGTCAAACCGATTTGAAGCTATCTTCAATGGGACCAAATGTGAAAATCGTCCCTTACATTTCTTTGGTTTATTTTGAATGGTATTTCAAATTTCAAATTAATTTTTCCTTATCTCTCACTGGCCCAACCTAATTTGGCAACGTTGTTGTATTATTGCCAAACATAACCTATGATGATTTGTGGACTTGTGGTTTTCATACTGCAAATCATATTTTTAAGCTAATAAAATGCATTCGGTAATATCTGTGTTAAGTAGGATCAAAAATATTGTTCCCGAGCTTCAAAATGCTTTACCAAATTTGACATTTCATGAAGTCTCTAATGCAGGTAAGATTTTTGAGTTTTTTGATTAGATTCTGTAAGTATAACCTTTTTTTCTAAATTTGTATTTACGTAAAATTGTGTACAAATTGAATCATTTTAATGATACTTTATCTGCTCTTAATACTAATAATTTTACTATGTCTTAAATTTTATTAATTATATCTACTATTTTCTCATAATATGGCCTAGATATTCTAATGTGTGCTTTTTGATTGTATGAACAATATCACATTGCTTCCCCATTCTACTTATAACTTTCACAGTCCACCCAAAGCCTCTATTTTGTACAACAAGGTAGAAAACATAATCTGGAGATGGAGACTTGTTGGCTGTGGATAGTTGATTGGTAAATCATAGTCATTCATTCATTTAATCTTTATAAACGCTGAGCTTGCCTTCTCCATCAGGTGTTTTATTTAGATGGGGTGGTTTGTGTTAGATAGCTATAGACCCTGTCAAGTGGCTGTTAGTTAAACAAAAGCAGTATATTTATATTTCAAACTTACTGTCTACCATGTATTTTATTTTCTTTATGTTCAGATCAAGTCCAGAGTCTTGACCGATGTTTGAAATGCCTGACAATATTCTTTGTAGCCCTTTAAACTATCTGCAACATGAAACATGCATACACCATTACAATGCAGATAAAAAATTCAGAGCAAGCAGTGGAAGCTTGGAGGTTGACTTCCACCTCAAGTTTAGAACTGTGGCGTTAGCGAACATGGTTATGGCCTCAGATGCTGGTGCTCTATCAGGCTCTTACTGTGTACAACTAATACCCAAATTGTACGAAGCCATGCATGTAGGTTTCAAAATTGTGTTCCCAAAACTCAAAGAAGACCTTAGGGAAGATTTTTTTGACCAATGATGAAGCAATGCGTGCCATAAGTTGGTTATTTGACACAATCGAAGTAAATTTCTTCCAGAATACTATCAAAATGTTTCAAAATATGTATCGAAATCAAAAGTGTGTTTAATTAGGGGGACTATGTTAAAAAATAAAGGGGTCAAAATTTTCTTGTATTATTTCTAGGCTAGAAGTGAACCTTAGGAATCAACCTTTCTATAGTATGCATTCAGATGGTCAATAAGTCAATAAAACATAAAAATACCATGCCCTTGATTGTAGCAGTTTGAAATTTGGAATTTGATCTAGATGGTTGCTAAAAACATAATAAAACAAAATCGTGTGTTATTATTAATCTCTTCATGCATTCTGGTTATCCTAGAGTGAAATATGTGAAGAAATGTCTTACCAACTTGTCCTATACCCGCTATATTATTTTTATTATTGCAGATTTGGATAAGCAGTTCAAGGAATCCCACATAATAGTAGCTGATTACGATCTACTAACACCATACATCTACAGTTTACCTCAAGCCAAATGGGTACAAGGAACATGGGCAGGTGTTGACGGTTTAATGGAAAAAATTACTAAAACTCCATCATTTTCAATTAGCAGGTTCACTGGAAGCATTTTGGTGCATTAATGAGTGAATATGTTGTTTCTAACATTATAAACTTTGAGAGGAATGCATTTGAGATTAACCAGAACCAAAAAATGAAGCAGTGGAAGGTAGATGGAAAAATAGACGAGCATAGAGCCATTTTTGATTTGACTGTTGGCATTTTAGGATTAGGGAATATTGGAGATAGAGGTACAAATATACTATTTAATAATCACATATTTCATATTCATATTATCTTCATTATTTCTTTTCTCAGGTTTGAATATTCACGAAAGCTTCATTCTACCATATTGTCACAGATCATAAATCATGTAGCCATTACATACAATGTTAAACCAAATGGGTATGCAATACAATCTGAACATCTCTTTAGAAAAAATCAAAGTTATGGTATTTAAAGGCAAATAACTTGTGCAGTCAATCGTTAAAAGTAGACCAATAGACCATGATAATGATATAGAGTCTTAAGACTCATGAAGATAAAACATGTAAAGGCTAATTTTGTAGCAAAAGAAGAAGAGAAGAACTTAAGTATAGTGATAAAATAAACAACGATCTTTGTATAGAAATGTAAGTTTTTAGACATTTTTTTTTATTTACATTTATGTTGACAATATACCTTCTTGGTAATTTAAAAAGATTACATCTGGCTTGTTGTCGGATTTTGAAACCCTCCGAAAATCTAGTGCTATATTTACTAAAATTGAGAAGGATGTGATGGTCTAGAAATAGCAATAATCACAAAAGCTTTTTTACGGGTTGACTGGAAGAAGGTTATTCTACGGTTTTATAATCAGTACTAAATAGATAAGAGATAAAAAAGTTAATAAACCTTGATATACAAACAAGTGTCTAGATGAGGCAGCAGAACTAGAAATTTTTAGATCCTAATGGTGGTCTATTTGATAAAAGTAAAGGAACAGCAAGGAAAAACTCAAAAATAACATAAATAACGCAACAACAGAATCACTTGGAGAGAGGAAAGTAACTAACATATAAAAAAACACCATGGTTTAGAGAGGAAGTGAAGACAAAATGTGAAGAAAAGAAGAAAGCCTTTTTACATATATGAAGAAAGCCTATATACAATAACAATTTTTTATAAGTAGACAGAGTGGATTTTTTCCCATCAACCAGTACATCTTTCTGAACTTAATTTCTAATTCCTCCTTTTTTTTTCTTAATATGTGCTTTCCAATGTAGCTTGAAATCTAATGTCATACCCAAATATTTTGCTGTATTTGCTTAAGGTATTTGGTTTCTATTTATTCTAACTGGGATATGTTGTTCTCTTTTGTTAGTAAAATTGACATGAACAGATTTAGTTCATTCAATTTGATATGACATCGATGTTAATTTATTCAACAGAGTTCTGTAAAGTGGTTGCTGCTTTCTCGTGGTTTTGTCCGACTGCTAGAATGCATGTGTCGTCTGCAAATGTCGCAATTGTGTTAGGTTCTAATGATGGAATATCTCTGGTATAGAGCAGGTATAGCACTGGCCCCAGAACACTTCCTTGGGTATAACTTGAAAGTATCTGTCGGATCTATATGATTCTAGTAGTTCAGAATATTGTTTTGGTAACTAGCATCTCATTTTATGATATAATCCGTCATGCCACACTGTCAAAAGCCCGCGCTACATCGAGGAAAATTGCGGAACAGACTTTTCCTTCTTCCAAAGCTTTTTCTACTATATCTGTTATTCTATGCACCTGATCTATCGTTGAGTGGCTTGCTCTAAACCCAAACTGATGATAGGAATTAGATTTTTTCCTCTATAATCGGTTTTAGTCTCTTCAAGAGTAATTTTTTGTATAATTTAGACATGACAGGTAACAGTGAAATAGGCCTATATGAAGCAGCTTCTTGTGGGGGTTTTCCTGGTTTTAATGTCATTAAAGGAAGCGTTTATAAGATGTGTTAGTATAAAACAGAAATTAATTAATATTTTTTTCTTTTGATATTAATTGCAATTAATTATTAGAAAATCAATACTGCTAAACACCAATATTCGTTCTGTCAAACTCGTTTGAGGCTATCTTCACTGGGACCAAACGTGAAAAATGTCTACATATCCAAATGTATAAATTCATATGTCTATAAATTATTATATCATTATTATTTTCATTCCATATTCATATTTTTTATATTGACGTTAAAAAATTAATGTTTAGTGGCCAGGACATTAAACTACATGGGTGCTGTTGTTTTTGGCTACGGCAGAAGACCTACCTTAAACCTTGAAGAGAATCCTCATATATCAAAGTATTTTTCGAACAATATGCTTCCCCAGCTTTTGCGAGAATGTGATTATGTTGTTAATACTCTGCCCGAAACTCAAGAATCGAAAGGATTGCTAAATGGAGATCTTTTAGAAAATTGTAAAGGTATGTATGTCACATTTATAGTTATTTATGCAACAAATACTAACGATGGCTCATCATCAAGCGATTTATCTGATGATTTTTTATTTCCTGTTTATTTTTAATAACATTCTTCTTCTTCTTGTCCTTTTTGGGCATTTTTAATAACATTAGCAAACATAAACAACCCATAACCTGAATTAACATGCTGTCATTTTTCCTGTAAAAAAAGGACATGACTTTTAAATCAGCTGGCCACGTATCTAAGAGGTGGAGGCTATAAAACATATCGAAGAAGAGTATGACACTAATATTTATTGGTTTCAACCTTAGACAAGAAAAGAGAGAGGACAGGTAACGATAATTTAATAAACTTTCACAAAGTGAAGCCAGTTTCGATGTGACCGCCATGTTTTGGTGCCTATACATTGCCCGTTACTACCTCTCGCAGTAGTACGAGTAGTAGATGATAGATGATACAGCTATGGTAGCCTAGTTAATAATCTTAAATGATCCGCGATTGTGCACAAACGTGAGAGACCTGCACAGACGGATACCTAATTTGAACAAATGAAAGGGTCAATTATTAATAATATATGATTTAAGATTGGTGATGTACCGGACACGAAATGTGAGTACTACAAAGAATATTTTAATAACGCCCTTTCTACTAAAAAAATTGGTGATTTTTAGTAATTTTTACATCTAACAGGTTGACTGCGTTCACAAAATATGTAAACCTCTAAACTGTGCATTACCGGTCCCCCGGGACCGGTGGCTTGGCGCAAACACGGTGCGTTACCGACCGTCGGGGACCGGTAATGACGTAATTATTTTTTTTATTTCTACAGTTTTACAATATAAATTATAAGAGTTTTAAGATCAATTATTAAAAGTAAAAACATTTAAAAACTTACCATTGTCATTCGTTTTTTGATCAGGTTTCCTGTTAAGAATATTTTTGAAGTGTCAAGACAGCTACTATTTTTTTACAGATTTAGATTAAAAGAGTAAATGATACAAAACTTCTTAATATTTTATTAGTGTAAATGATATTTGAAAACAAAAAATATGTCCTAAACTAAATAATATGTTATTAGTTATTAAACAAAAAACAATAAAGTTTCAGGAAATTAAACAATTTTTTCTTAATTATTAAACAAAAAACAATACAGTTTCAGAAAAATAAACTATTTTTTATGAATGCTATTAAAGCAAGATAAACACATTCCTGGTTGACCAGGACATTCATTGCAATAACTTGTTACTTTTGTCACCATATTACTTGCCTGTTTGCTTGAATGTGTTTCTCTTAATTTATGATAGCATCCTTGGCATTGTCTTCTCCTTTTCTTTCCAGGTCCTGATGGTTTAACAAAAGTATGGATAACTCTTTTGGGAGTAGTGGTGTTTTCGTATGCAACTGGAGTAACAAGTAACTCTTGTGCCAATCTTTTTCTAAATTCCATTATAGATAACTTTGTGGAACAAGTAATATTGTTATAAACAATCCAGGCATTTACAATAGATGTTCCGAGCAAAAATTCAAAAGCTAGTTTACGGTACCATTTTAAACTTTTTCTTAAAACGGAATGATACGAACTCATCTGATCACTAAAGTCTACTCCTTTTTTTGCTTGATTGTAATCAATAATTGCCTTTGGTTTCATCACAAGCTCACGTTGCCAGTTCCGCTTTCCTGTTGGTTTTAAGGTAGTTGTATGGGTTGGATCAGTACTTAACATCAGAACTGGCCGTTTGTCCATCCATCTTATAATACGTAACGAGTTGTTCTGAGCACCCCAAATTTCTCCTTTTTTCATTTTTTTAGGTATCGTTTTGGGAATACCTCTTCTGTTAGACCTCAGGGTTCCACAATAAATTATTTTTTTTTGAATAACGATTTGGCTAAAGGTAAACTGGAGTAATAATTATCAGCATACAAGTAGCGGTAGTAACCATCTTTGAATTCAACATTTTGGAGAAGGTCATATACTATCTGCTCACTTTGACAAGTATTTGCATTAGTAGTCGTATTTTTACCACGATAAACGATTATGTTGTTAGTATATCCATCCACTGTACATAATTTATATAATTTAATTCCATACGGGTGTGTTTTATTTGGGAGATATTGCTTTATTTGTAGTCTTCCTTGATAAGGTACTATACTTTCATCGACAACCAAAATCCGTCCTGGTGTTAATGCAGCTTGAAAATTTTTATTCAATACTTTTAAAACTTCACCTAACTTATAGAGCCGATCATCTTTATTACACTGCTCATTATTACAAAAATGAATGCAACGCATCAATAAAAGGAACCTGTCTCGTCTCATGGTATTAGTAATAAACTCATTCCTGAACATGGGATCTTTTGACCAATACAAATTTATTGCGGGACCATCAACTAATCCCATAACTATACATATTGAAAAAAAACGTTTAAGTTCGGCTACATCGCAGTCAACCCAGGAACGTATACGTGATTTTGATCGATGTATATTTAACAACATTTGCCGAGCAAATCTATTTGTTTCAGTAACAATATTCTGTAAAAGATCATCAGTTACAAATAACTTGTAAGCGTCTATAGGATTTTTTATTTCATTAACGTTAAAATTTAATATAGGCAACTCTTGATATTGTTGCAACTCACCAGCTTCATTGTCACTCTCATCTATATCATGCCACTCGTTTTCATCATCATTTTCAGATTCTGACATTTTTTCACTTTCAATTTCTGTCTCATTATTATCATCAAATAAATCACTCGTACTTACATCACTGCAAGAGTCATCTGAAGAAAGAACATAGTTTTTGTCGATTACAGAATCGTCCGAATCAAAAGGATCGTCCCGTTCATTTTCACTGTCACTGTTTGGCAACTCTGCAAGCACATGATCTCTTGAATCACCAGGACTTTGGCGCGCATTTACAACACTTGGGTTATCTTCGTTATATTTTTTATTTTCAAATGAAGTACTCGGTTCGTTACACTCTACAGTTTTTGTTTTGTTTGTATCAGCTGTTTTAGCTAAAAACAAAATCTTTTTAACGCGAGATGACATTTTTAGACTAGTAAAACACAGACATAAACACACCTGCTATTGAAATACAAACGATACTAAACGTGGATTGACTGCGCAAGCAAGCATATATAAATATGCACCGGTCCCACAGGACCGGTCTCGCACCCGAGTAACAAATTGTAATGTCTGTGCGTTACCGGCCCCCAAAGCCCGGTACATTTTTTTCTTTTAAAAATGTTTGGAATCTTGAAACAAGTATAATGCTGTTTTTAGCATTTAAAACAAACGAATATTAACGAAGATATGCTTTTCGCAATTTTTAAAAGTTTGCAGTTTTCACATACCGCACTTTAATAATAACGAACACCGGTCCCACGGGACCGGTAACGCAGTCCACCTGCTAAAGTCAATGTCTTTCACTCCTTGACTTTTTTATTATTATTTTAGATAAACAAACTGTATTTATAAATGTTGGAAGAGGATCAATAATATCAGAAGAAGCATTAATAAGAGCTTTAGAGAACAAATGGATATCAGGAGCAATTTTAGATGTCTTTGAAAAAGAGCCATTAACGACTGATAGCGCCTTGTGGAAAATGCCTAATGTAAGTGAATATTTATTTAATATTGTTCAAAATTATTTCTCTCTTACTTAAATATTCGCAAGTTTAACTTCTGACATAGCTGATATTTTCCAAAGTACAGTCCCTGCTCAATTTATCAGACTCACTTAGCAAATTCTAGTTTTCTGTGTTTTATAATCAATTGTAATTATAACTATGTTAGCTATAAGCAAGAAACAACACAAATGATAGTAGTAACTTTTTGCATATTTATTGAACAAAATCAACGTAAATTATTACAATATTTTACTTTAACATAAATATTTTGTTAAGCCACCCTTAGCTTTAAGCAGTGCAGCCAGTTTCCTAGGCATGCTGTTTAAGTATTTTCCTGCGATTTCTTTTAAATTTTCGGTGTGATTCCAATGGAAAATGATTGTTTCTATCAACTGAACCTTGTTGGTAATTATGTCCTTGGCTATCTCTCTTTTAGGCACTCCCAGATATTTTCAATAGAGTTCACATCTGGTGAGTTGCTGGGCCATGGTAAGAGCAATTTCTTGCATTAACAAAAAACTTTTAATACTTTTAGCCATATGGCTAGGTGCTCCATTATGCATACATATATTATGGCCGTTACCAAACCATTCGTTCACCATAAAAGGGGTGAAAATTTAAGAAAAGTTTTTATCATTTTCTACGTAACTATGTACCCAATAGTTATGCAACCCATTCAACACCTTAGTATCCAAGTGATCATACTTTCAGTGCGATTGAAATAAAAAAACTGACATTTTTATGGTATCTAATAAATTAAGCAGCAATTGAGTAGATGTATAAACAGGTTAATTGTATTTTTGCTTGTTTTTCAGGTGATCATTACCCCGCATGTGTCAGCTTGTTCTCGCTCAAAAGATATAGCTCAACTGTTGAAAGACAATTTAGAATATTATAGAAAAAATTTACCAATTCCAGCTACTGTAGATTTCAATAAAGGCTACTGAGAACAAAATACCAAAGATGGACAGCTGAAATATCTTTTACAAACACAGTGTGATATTTTTACCATATGTTACATTTAAATATATCTATAAATATACATTTCATAAAAATATGTCAGTTTATTTATTTTTCTTAAGATGGATTTCTACGTAGGAACTCACTCTACATCTGGTTCCTAAAAAAACTGATACAACTCTTAAAGCGTATTTTATAGAAAATTGAGCAGTGTATCTTGAAGGATAAATACTTATTATTTACATACTGTCACTGTCACTGCCAAATCTTAAAATTTGTCAGATAACTTATTCTGTTCAACCTTAAAAAATGGCTTCACATGCTAGCAAAGAACTAAAAGCAAAAATTGTAACGAAATTAGAAGATGGTTGGTCACTATCTGCCGTAGCGAACCATTTCAACGTAAGCAGAACAACAGTTTTTAATATTAATAAAAGATGGAGATAACAAGAAACTCTCAAAAGAAAGCAAGGTTCTAGAAGACCAGCAATATTTACAACTCATGAAGATCGTACGCTTTTAGAGAGATTAGAAGATTTTTACGCTTGGCAACAACTTGGCACATAATTAAAGCATCATGGCATCTTAGGTACTGAACTGCAGCAAAAAACAAGCTCTTACACCACAACAAAAGCAATGAAGACTTTAAACTTAAATGCTTTAAACCATCACCTACAAAATCAAGATTTTTGGGACAGGCAATATTTACAGATGAGAAAATTGTTCAATCTTCTAAAAATGGCAAAATTGGGGTGTACAGACCAGATAATAATATATTTAATCCTCTATATGTTGATAGATACTGAGCAGCTGGTCATTTTAGCCCCAATGTATGGGGATGGATTCCATCTGGAGGAATGGGAATGGTATGGCGTATTGATGGCAGGTTTGTTGGGCAGACTTATCTGAATATTCTAGAAAACATCATGTTTCCAGTGTAGAACAGTTGTATCCAGAAAATAATTTTATCCTCAACAAGATACTTGTCCTGTTTCACACTGCAAATATAATAAACCAGTGGCTCCAGAATAACAACATCGAAACCTTACCATGGCCCAGCTACAGTCCAGATTTAAACCCAATCGAGAATGTGTGGGGGTTATTATAAAACTGGTGTATCGGCGTAATTTTATACCTCAAAATGCTGAAGAGCTGTGGCATGGTATACAACAGGTTTGAGAAGAGCTCTCTGAAGAAGACAATTTCATAGTTCCTTTCACGCAGATGGACCGAAGATTACAAGCTGTTATCAATGCTGATGGAGATATTACAAAATATTAATTTTATTTTTACATACCTAAATTTAGTATAATTTTGGTCTTCCAGACCCTCGCTTTCTTTTGAGAGTTTCTTGTTCTCATTTTTTATTAATAGAAAAACTGTGGTTCTGCTTATGTTAAAATGTTTTGCTGCCTCTGATAGTGCCCAGTTATCTTTTAATTTGGTTACAATTCTTGCTTTAATATATTGTTGAGTTAAGTCGTTTGTTTTATTCCTTGATAATAATAAAAATAATAACAACAACCTCATTTTATGTAAAAAACTGTGTGACGTGAATAAAATTTAGACCTTAATAATTATTACAATTTATGAATAATATTACGTAATTCATTGTTTGTTGTTTATTTTATTATTTATCTGTCATAATAAATATAATATAATGTCAATACACTGCTCAAAATGATCAAATCTTACTAAGAGTTGTATCAGTTTTTTATGAACCAGCTGTGCATTGTCTTTTCAGGTGAAATGTTAAAGTCAGAATTAAATTATTTCATTTTTAGTAGCATTGTGAAGCATTTCATCGGATTCTTATCCAATATTCTTCCTCTTACCATCTCAGTTGCTAAAAAGTGTATCGTTATTCTCGTAATACGTGCTCTAAATATGCACTCTTTTTACTTTCTACATAATCAAAAAGTTGCCTATCCTGGAGGCAATAGGTACTTCCTCATTTCTGACTCTCTCCTTCCATAGTATTCTAAGCATTCGGCACAGACACCACATTTCAAAAACTTTTAAGTTTGTTAGTTTAACGTTCATGCCTCCATTTCATACAAGACAAGAGGTCAAACGTAATACTAGCATCTTGTGTCTCGGGTTAAAATCCAATTAACGACCAGTCAAAAATTTACAGTTTCAAAAAAGCATTTCTGGCTTGTTTTAATCTGCTCTTTATTTCAATTTCAGGGTCCTAACTATCATTTAGCAGACAACCCAATTGTTTAAACTGCCTGACTTGCTTGACTTCTTCTCCACCTACCTTCTAACCATTGTGGTTGTCTTGATATTTATTTTCAAACCCAAAGCTTCACTTGCAAGAGTTAAATCATTTAAAAGACATTGACAATTTTCGATATTATCTGCAGCTACCTCTATGTCACGGGCATGTTATAAATAAATATGCCCTTTTTCTGCTTATATAAAAAAATATTGAAGAAAGTATACATCTACACAAAAACTATGTCTTATCTAATTATGATTTAATAGCACACTCGTATACTTAAGTAAAAAACATATTTTTCGGCCAGGAGATTACTTTATTTAATTCTATATTATATTATATTATATTATATTATAATGGGAAACAAGTCAAATTTCAAACAATGTTTACATTGATTTGCCCCTTATTGGTGTCCACCTAGCGGACAACACGCGCAATAAACTTTAAAAATCTGCTTCACTTATTGTTCTCATTCAGTTTACTACATCTATGATTTTTACTGTTAACTACTATTCTACAAGATTTTACATATGAAGATTTATAAAAGTTTCCGACAATTTTCAACTTTATAGTCCAGTTTACTGCAAAATTCACGTCTTTGACAGAATTTATATGCGAGAAGTTCAACTTTTTGCTAACAGATAGCGAAAAGTGTATTAATATAATGTATATGTTTTTTTTACATGGTACAATGAATACATAATTGGGAAGATTGTAATCGCCAAAAACATAGATATCCTGTGCTGAGTATTGCAGAATATTTTCCACAGTTTGAAAATGCCAGTTTTATACTTCGCGAGGTGATTGTGGAGGTATGTTAACACGTTAAGCATGGTGAGACATCAACGCAATGTGTCACTGTCAGGTAAACTTAGGCCGGCGTGACACCAATAAACGTCTCATGTCAAACAGAAAATAAGACATAGTTTTATATAAATGAAAAAAATAATCGCATTACTTTGATTTTGTAGCAGAATCCGTTTCAAAAAACCATGAAACACAAAAGCTCTTTTTACAAGATGTGCACTGCCATTTGGTTCTTGGAGTTGTGCTTTGTGCTTCTTGCCGTCCTAAAGTTTCTTTTTTTTTAAAGCATAGCACACAACACATCGACCTTTAGCGTGCTCTTGTAATACTTACATGACGCTCATCATTTTGGATGTTCTTGGCCGATACAAGCTCATGAGTTACATCTAAAAGTGTCAAGGCAAGATGCTCTCTGAATTCAGTAATCTGCATTTTATTTTTTGTTATTTCCTTATAACACAAGTATACATTCACTAAAGCATAACCTAAAATTAGCTCGATCGCTAACTTCCGATACCATTTCGTTCCCTTTCTAAGAGAAAACGCGAATATTCTTTCATTGATCCGAACGATCAATATAAGCTTGTCTCACTCCTACTACCTCATCGGTGTGTTTGGTGGTCAACAGCAGCACATCTCTCGTATCTTTCCATTTCATCATAACGACACCTGTACCACTTTCCTGGGCAAATACTTCATTTCTTTTTAGTTTTTTTGCCACAACTTCTTTCGCGTTCAGTTTTCTGTTCATCCTTACAGTTCCAACAAGATGTGTTTTTCTGTTCAATAATTGAGATGCTAAATACACACTAGTATAATAGTTATCCATATAGAGGGTTCGCCCTTTGTCCAAAAGATTGTCCATCAAACTCATGACTACATTCGCTGTTGCATTACTGATACCATCAGTTGCACAATACACTTGTAGATTATAGGTATATCCACCTTCTTCTTCTTCTTCTTAAAGTGCCCTCTCCTCAATGGAGGTTGGCTATTATTTTAAACTCTTCTCTATCTTCAGCTGTTCTTATTAGCTGTTCAAAATTTAGCCCTGTCCATTGTCGGATGTTTCTGAGCCACGATAGTCTTTTCCTTCCTAGGCCTCTCTTGTATATGTATGATATATATGGCCTCTCTTGTATGATATCCACCAGTTGTACAAAGTTTGTACAATTTTATTCCAAATTTGTTCTTTTTGTTTTTAATGTACTGTTTAAATTTTAAACGACCTCTAAAAGGAACAACAGTTTCGTCAATACATACATCTGGTCCTGGCACAAGAACGTACTGAAATCTTTCTATTAAGTTATTGATCAGTGCGGTCAACTTTCTAAGATTATGATTTGCAAAGCTCACATCCTTGCTATTATTGAAATGAATTGAAAATTATTGCTCACATTTGAAGAAGTTGTTCGAATCTGTTTCTTGGCATGAGATCTTTTAGGTACCTTGTTAGAGTATAAAAAATTAGTGCTCCAATAAGCTTTTGGACGTGGTAGCTGAACTAAACCCATCCAAATAATTACACCAAGAAATATTTCTATTTCTTTGTTATCAGTGGGAACACTTGCTTGGCATAAAGATTGGTTTGGTACACCATATGGTCAATAATCTCATTTGTAATAAATAGTTTGAAAAAGTCGTATGGAGTCTGCTCATATCTGTCGTAGAATTCAGCTTTTATTCCAATATCAACACTAGAGAAATCAAACGTTCTTAGTGAAGTATCATCAACGGGTCCCCATACTATTTCAGTATCCTGGGTAGTGTTATTTTTTTCATCGGCGTCTTCGGATATATTTCGAGCTATCACATGTTATCTTCAATAGTTTGATCAATCTGTAACAAAATAACTGCTGTGATCCAAAAAATTTTCAGTTGATTTATAAATATCAATGTCGCCAACAAAAAAGAAAGATCTGAACTAAGCTTACTCACCCTACTGTCGTCGTTTTCAGTTGTAAGTTCACTAATACATTCAACTGACGTGGATGGAGCAAGTTCTCTGTCAAGATTGATCGCCTCATTGGTTTCAAATTTTTTTGCACGTTTTGTAGGA